TCCCTGGAAGTGTCCAAGGCCAGGCTGGACGGGGCTTGGAGCAACCTGGGCTAGTGGAAGGTGTCCCTGCCCATGGCAGGGAGCAGAACTGTGTGATTTTTGAAGTCCCTTCCCACTCAAACTCTTCCATGATTCCACAATTCTGTGTCATTTACCCCAAGACCCCTATGATGTCACTTGACTTTTTGGAAACCCACATTGTTCTTTTTTTTTCCCATGTGTTAAGAAACTGTTGGAGGTAAATCTCAGAGGGGAAACCACAATGTAAAAATATCCTGGGATGCAAGACCAAGCCTTCAATTTAATTACTGGGGAGGGCAGCAGAGATTCCACTTGCTTTTTGTGCTCTGCCATATCAGAGCAGTTTGCAGAAGGGTGGGTTTGGTCACCATTGCAGCTGGCAGCTCCTCCCCAGAACCTTTGCTTGTAAAAAAAACCCCACAAAATCTGTCCTGCCAGCCTCAGGGAGGAGGGCAGGAGGGCTTTGGGAATAGCTCACTACCAGGAGGTATTACAGAAACAGTCCCAAGTTGCATTTGGGATGGGCAGTGGTTGTTCCCAGGACAAAGCTTGCCTTGCTCCTCTCTGTTAACACTGCCCTGTCTCTTGGTTTAGGTGTTCAACAACATCTTGCACAAGTGTGGTTTGCAGTGTGAAGGAGCCTCTGCTGAGCCTCAGAAGCTGGAAGAGAAAGTCAGTGTGACTGCAGGGAACATGCCCCTCCAGGTAGGGCTGCTCCTGCCTGGGCTGTGCCTGTTGTGCCCTCCTGTTCCCAAAAAAGGGGCGGCTCACCCAGCACGTGGTTCCGTGTCACTGTTCCACTGTCACAGGAGGTGGTGATCAAACCTTCCCACCCTGAGCTGATTGCTTTGCCTGTGTGCATGTCACCCACATCCCTTGTAAAGGGGGAGGTTTGAAACCTGGCAACTTTTTTGCTTAACCAGCTCATAATGTAACAGAATATCTGACAGAAGTGTCCCCCCAACCCTGGCAGTGAGCAGAGCTGAGCCTTTTCCTTCAGGAGTGTGTGTTTAACCACAGTGTACTTTAACTGTAGGTAATTAAGAGGGGTTTCAGTGCTGGGGGCTGTACAAAGACAGGCCGCTGTCAGTGAGAACAGTCTGCAAAATCTTAATCACTCAGTTTGTGGTGGGGGTTGTTTCAGCTGCCCTGGAAAAGCATCTTGCACTGGACCAGGCTGCTGAAATCACCCCTTTGACTCCCATCTTTCTGTTTCCCGTGCAGTGCTTCCAGCTACACGGGGAAGAATTCCATATGTGGAGGGTGTTTTGAGAACAAAGCCACTGTCCCCAACAAGATCTGATGAGAATTCCTGTAATTTCACAGGACCTTTAACGAAAGCAAGCAGTTAGGATTGCCTTATAGGTCTCTGAAGGGTTTAGGAGTTTAAAGGAGTTTGGGAGGCTTTAGGAGAGATGTTGTCTCTGCCCCCAGACCCTGTAACATGTTTATAGTTTAGACTGTGCAGTCAGGAAAAGGCCTGGCCTGAATATGCTGTGTCCCTGTTGGTGAATGTACTGTGTTCCTGGGAAAACTTGCTCTTCCCTCAGTAACTGCTCTTTCCCCCCCAGGAGCTGAAGGACATTGTGCTGTATTTATGTGACACCTGCACAACACTCTGGGCCTTTCTTGATGTCTTCCCCTTGGCTTGCCAGACCTTCCAAAAACACGAGTTTTGTTACAGGTACGTCTTGCTCTGCAGGCAGAGCTTGTCCTGGCAAAGTGAAAATACTGAATGTGCTGCTGTGTCCTGTCCCAGTCCCTCCCTCGTTAAGAGGAGACAGATTTAATGCAGAGGCTGCTGGGTTCACACTGACAGGAACACAGCAGAATGAATAAATGGATAGAGATGTCTAGATTTGCTGTTATATGTTCACCTTCAGCCCTGTGAGTGATCCCAGAGCCAGGCATCCATGGCAGCTTCAAAACCCAGCTGGACAGTACTTGGTGTGCTCTGCAAAGGGTGGAGAGGGACAAGTTATGGACATAAAGATCTTCCTGCTGTGGGATCCAAGCAAGGGAAGCAGGAAGTATTTTGTAGTCATGGTCTTTCAACAGCTGAAAACAAGTGGGTTTGTTTGATATTATGCCCAAGTCTTATGGTAGAGAGCATTACTGAGGCCTGGCAAAAGCTGAGTGCCTGGGAGAGGGTGACAAGGCAGCCCTGTCACAGCAGGGCTGGCACTGATTCCCTGTGCAGCTCTGGAGCACAGTGGGGATGAGTCAGGATGGACTCAAGGTCCAGACAGCACAGCTTGTCCCACAGAGGCTGCAGGTCCTTGAGTGGCACCTTCCCACATTGCTCCAGGTGGTTTCAGCCCCCACATCACCTTGTGGAGTCTTGCCTTCACCATCCCTTGTTTAGGATTGAGTGAAGTGTTAATTTACTGTCCTTATTTCCCCTGTTTTGTTTGCTTAGTGTGAGCAAACACGGGTTTGTATTTCACTTTTGCTCCCAGTCAAGTTGCACAGCTCTGAAGCCTTTAGGGAGCACAGGCTGAGTGACCTGCTCTCTGTCCTCCTTGGGTGTTGTCCCCACGTTGGATTTTGGAAGGAGAGCAGGTTGCTGGGCTGCTGGTGGCTCTTTGGGCTGGCAAACAGCACTGCTTCCATACCTGGGCACTCAGAGGGGGAAAACCTTTGGCTTTTCATTCTCCTGTTGATGTCAGAGATGTGCTGAAAGAGTCTCCATCTCTGTGCAGTGAGACAGCAGCTACATTTCCATCCTCAGTAGGGCCAAATGACTGGGGCTTTGGAATGTGGGGAGGAAAGACTCTTCTGTGTCATCTGGAACCTCTGAGCTCAGCCAATCTGCTGGCACTTGCTAATTCCTCTCCCCCACTAAAAGTATGGACCAGCTTTGCTACTTTTGCCTCAAGGACACTCATTTAGCGTGGTTGGCTCTTAATGAGGGACGTGCACAGAATGTTCCTGCTGGAGTCCAGCCAGACTTTGCTGCACAGTGCTGGGAACCATCACCATCTCCCTGCTGGTGAGGCAGTGCTGGCTGTGTTCTGGGAGGGCATCTCTCCAGGTCTCTTGGTGCCCTGTCCCTGAAGGAGAGGGTCTGTGTGTGCTGCCTGGAACGGAAATTGGGCCAAACTTTCTGTGATTCCTCCCTGCCCCATCCTCTTGGAACATCCTCTTGGGCCTTCAGCATGTGGGATACCTTCAGCTGAGCGCCCACCTGGAGCAGAGCTGAACAGCAAGGCCAGTAAGGCTTGATTGGAAATGCTGTCCCACTTCATGTCCAGTGCTTGGCACACAGCAGGAGGGCCAGGAGGGTGCTGGAGTGGGACGAGGTGTTTTGGGGAGGACTCAAACTGGGTTAAGTTTTGGGCCCCTCACAACACTGAGGGGCTGGAGCGTGTGCAGGGAAGGGAACGGAGCTGGGAAGGGGCTGGAGCAGCAGGAGGGGCTGAGGGAGCTGGGGGGGCTCAGCCTGGAGCAAAGGAGGCTCAGGGGGGACCTTCTGGCTCTGCAACTCCCTGACAGGAGGGGGGGCTGGGGAGGTCAGGCTCTGCTCCCAGGGAACAAGGGACAGGAGGAGAGGGAACGGCCTCCAGCTGTGCCAGGGGAGGGTCAGGTTGGATATTGGGAAAATTCCTTCCTGGAAAGGACTATCCAGCCCTGGCACAGCTGCCCAGGGCAGGGGTGGAGTCCCCATCCCTGGAGGGATTTAAAATCCCTGTGGATGTGGCACTTGGGGATGTGGGTCAGTGTTGGCCTTGGCAGTGCTGGGGATGGTTGGACTTGATGGTCTCAGAGGGCTTTTCTAACCTGAGCAATTCTGTGATTCTGTGTCTGTTGGCTCTTTGCAGGTCTGTGTTTGGGATGTTTTTGGGTTGGGCAGATGGGTCAGATAAGTACCAGGGAGCTTTTCAAATGCATTTCTTTCCTACCTCTTCAAAGGCACCTCAGTGGTTTCCTAAGAGTGTGATTTCCTTCCAGTGCTGCTCTTTCTCATGTTCGTGCCTGTGTTTTGGGGGGAAAAAATAACAAAATGGGTGATGCTAAGGAGTACTGCTGGTGAGGAGGGTTTAATGAAACCAGCCATTTGGTTTGTCTTTTAGCAAATGATTTTTGGAGCCTCAGCTGACAGTTTCTGGTTTTCCCCCCCCTTTCTACAGGTTAGCTTCATTTTATGAGCTGACAATTCCTGAGCTGGAATCTGCAATCAAGAAGAGGCATTATGAGGATAACAGGTGAGAATGGCTGCAAGGGTTGGCCTTGGCTTTTCAGGGAGGCTTCCCAGGACTGAGTTAAAAATTCACTTCATGCTGCTTTACCCATCCCTGGGGAATCTTTCTGTCCCTTTTCTTGTGCTGCTTCGAAGAGCTCTGAGGAGATGACACTTGTAATTCCAAATTTTCCTGGGCAATGGGGTGACTAATCATTTCTTTTGGTGCTGTGTAAGAAGGAATTTGATGGGAGGTGCACTCCAATTGTAACCAAGTGTGAGAACATGGATGATATCTCTGTGTACAGCTTGGCCTCATTGGAAGGCACAGGCTGTGCTGGTACACTGGGGGTGTCCTGTGTGGAGCTGTCAGGACAACTGGGGGTTGAGAAGAGCTTTGTGTAGAGCATGGATTTTCCTTAATGCCTGTGAAGTGGCTCCAATCTCTGGTCTGTGCAGCAAGGAAGTGACTCTGCTGATGAAATCCCTCTTTTAGAAGGTTGACTCTGGCATGAAGGTGTGTTACAGATTCTTGTGCTGCCACCAACCGTGTCTTTTGCTCTCTCTGAAGTGTTTTTGCTGATTTGTGGAGGAGGATTTCACATTCCAGGAAGAAGATGATAGAAGCTTTTCACATCCTAATAAACCAAGTCTGTCTGCAGCCCATCTTGGAGAGCAGGTATTGGCACTTGGCTCTGTGCTCCTCGCCAGGTATTTGATTGCTGGGGGGGGAAACTGTTTCCTCATTTACAAATTTATTGGAGAAAATGAGCAGATACTGCTATTTGTCTTGGGGCTGCAGCCAAAGACTTGGCTGAGATCAGAATTCTCTTGTCCTGTATATCAGGAATGTTCCAGATGAAGCTGTTTGGTCCAGAATCTCTGTGATGAGCTGTGGTCCAAGGAGCTTTCTAACCTCAGTTTATGCAAATTCTAATTGTGTGTGTAGACACCTTGGCTGAGACCTCACAGCGGAAGTGGTGCAGAGTTAGAGATCACTGAAAACAGTCATTTTAAACCTGGATGCTGCTGCCTTTATCTAGTTCTTCCCCACTCCTGTTGGGATAATTGTTAACTGATAGCGCTGAGTAATCTCAAAAGGAAGGCAAGTATAAACTAACCTGATTTGAAAGAAAAGAAGTGAAATGACCCAAAATTGTAGTGTGGGGACAGAGCCAAGAGCCTGGATCCCAGCTGCCAGCCCAGTGCTCCCTTGGGCTGGTCTCCCCTCACCTGTGCTGGAGCTGGTGTAGGTTGCTGGGCTCTGGGGCTCTTGCTCTGCTTGGATGTTTCCCCTGCTTTGGCAGCAGTGGAACTGTCCAAGATGAGCAGTTTATTTGTGGAATTCATGGAATCACGGGGTATCCTGAGCTGGAAGCGACCCACTGAGCCCAACTCCTGGCCCTGCACAGGACACCCCCAAGAATCACCCCATGATTCCTTATGAGATTGGATTTGCTTCCTTGACTTCCTCTGTGACCTGGACTTTATCCCTCAGTCTGTCTGTGCTGTAAATCCAATCCTTCAAGGGGCAACAGCAGCCTTGCCTTTCCCCTGCTTCCCTGGGATTGGCTTTCAGCACCCACTGGAATACTGACAGTATCAACAAACCAGAGTAACCTGTTCAGATCCCTCAGTTGTAAGGACTGTAAATACTTCAGAGGAATTAAGGGGAATGGCTCTAAGCTCCAGGAGGGCAGGGAGAGATGGGATACTGGGAATCCTTCCCTATGAGGGTGGGGAGGCCCTGGCACAGGTTGCCCAGAGAAGCTGTGGCTGCCCCTGAATCCCTGGAAGGTCCAAGGCCAGGTTGGAGCAGCCTGGGCTAGTGGGAGGTGTCCCTGCCCATGGCAGGGGGTGGGATGGGGAGGTCTGGGCACTGTGACCAGGGGTGCAGTGGGAGTTTGCTGGCACAGGCTCTTGCACAGGTGAGCACATACCTTCTGGGAGGTTCACTGCTGTAATCCCAAGGCATATAATACAGGCACAATTACAAAGGCACCACACACCCTTTTCTGCTCACTGCAAGTCTGAGGCATCAAACTATTTGTAAAGCCTGTCTTGTAATTCTGACTGTGATACAGCTTTAGATGTAGCTGCCTGAAATGTTTGCTGAAGCCATAAGAGGGACTCGTTTCCATTTGACCCTTTGCTCCTGTGAAAGCCAAAAAGTGGCCTGGAATCTGTTTTTAAATGGGGTGTTGCCTTGATGTGTGAGTGTGACTGGTTTGGCTGGTGAGGCAGAACATGGAGCTCGTGCAGGGGGGCAGCCTTAGCTCTGAGTGTTCACTCTGCTGTGTTTTCTGCAGCTGTGAGAATATTCAGCCATTTATTGAGGAATTTCTACAGATCTTCACCTCAGTGCTTCAGGAGAGGAGGTGAGTCTGGCTGGGAAGGAGCCCGAGGGGAGGCACCTCCTTCCTCCCCCATTCTTTACACCAGGATTGCCCGAGACAGCGTTATGAGGCTTTGGGGAGTTAGAAATCATTCCAAGTAGCTGGGAGAGCTGCAGTGAGAGGATTTCAGCCTGCAGCACAGCCCTCATTGTAAAGGTGAGGAGGATGCTGCATGACACTGAGGAATGTTATTCTTCACTCTCTTTAATCCAGGCTCTCAAAGAGGAGAGTAGCAATTTAGCCATTAGCTCCCTTGACAAGTTAGGCTGTTATTAGTGACCTGTGCTTTCCAGCTGGGGTGACCACACCAGGAAGATATTAAACACTAATGCTGGACATGCAAAGTGAGTGGCAGAACTGGGAATTCCATCTCATCCTCCTGGCTGTGCTGGCATTCTGAGCACGTTCACACCATAAAGCACATTTCCCTGTAATGCAGCACTGGGTTACAGCCCCTCACACTGAGGGTGTTCCAGCTGGCTCTGAGGGCCTGGGGGGAGTGTTGCTGCAGTGTAGTGGGAGCAAAATCAGGCCTGGCAGGAATCCAGGGCTGGGTGAGAGGTTCTGTGTGTTCCTACCCAAGCACTGAGGCAGTCAGGGAGGCACAGCAGGGGTGGGAGTGGTAATTAATCGAGTTCAGCTGATTAAACTTGCATTCTCAGATTTCTCCGTGACTACGACGAGCTGTTCCCCGTTGAGGACGATGTCAGTCTGCTCCAGCAGGCATCCTCCACTCTGTATCCTCTGCTCTCACCTTGGGGGTTGGATTCTTCACACCAGGGACGTTTCCTCTGTTGCTGCCTCTGGTTAAGCTGCAACGAGTGCTGGAAAGTTTCCCTTAAAAAAAAAAAAAGGAGAGGGAGGCAGTTGTTGCCCAGAGGAGCTGTGGCTGCCCCATCCCTGGAAGTGTCCAAGGCCAGGTTGAAGCAACCTGGGCTAGTGGAAGGTGACCCTGCCCATGGCAGGGGGTGGGATGGGATGAGCTTTAAGGTCCCTCCCAGCCCAAACCATTCCATGGGTGTTGATGCAGGCACAGGCTTGGGAGCCACTGACAGTCATAGTTACTCCAAGGTGATCTCGGAACGCGCACACCCAGGAATGTCCTTAACTCTGCTCTCAGAGACGAGACCAGGACAGCCTATATCCTCCAGGCAGTGGAAAGTGCCTGGGAAGGGGTGGACAGGAAGAAAGGACAGGTTGTGAAAGATCCAGCAGCAGCAGCAGCATCTACTGGAGCATCAGCAGTAGTGGAAAGCTCTGCTGAGGACAGGGAGGATCCAGGAGCTGCCTGTGCACCGGGGGATGAGGTGGGTACAGCCTGTGGGTGGGACAGGGCTCTGCTCTGCCTGCCCTTCATTCTTTGTGAGGACAGGCTTGGTTTGCTCAGTTTTGGAGACAACATGAGATTTAGTGTCATTTCTGACCTTCCCTGGATCTCAGTGCAGCCCCACATGCCTTGGGAAATGAGAATTGAATCCACACCTGAATCCCGCTTTATCTCTCAGCAAATGGCTTGTAACTCCCATGGCTTGGGTTTTCCCTGGCTGGGGATTATTCAAATACTCTGCCCCATCCCTGCAGTTCATGTGCATATTTTTAAATGCACAGCTTTGAGGAAGGGATTCTGCAGAGTGTCCTTGCTGGCTTGTGGACTGACAAAAGCACTCGTGTGCCCATCTCTGTTCAGATTCAAACAGCTGATTTCTCTTCTTTTGACTCCAGTCTTGGAGTTCTGTGTGTTTAAGCTCTGGTAGCCCAGACTGCTGCTCTCCCTTTGTTTCTGAGCTCTCCTGCCTGCCCTCAGCTGCTGTCCCTGCCCAGTAACCCCAGTTTGGTACCCGCAGTGTGCTGGTGCAGCGGCCGCGCCCGTCGCCCGCGTGTCCGGCGTGGAGCTGGACTCCCTCATCTCCCAGGTGAAGGACCTGCTGCCTGACCTCGGGGAGGGATTCATCCTGGCCTGCCTGGAGGAGTATGGATACAACACAGAGCAGGTGATCAACAACATTCTGGAAGATAAGCTGGTGCCACACTTGGACAAGCTGGACCGAAGGATGCAGAGGTGTGGCACAACTTGTGGTTGGTTGTTCAGCATTTAACACTGTTCTCACTGAAGGCTCAGCACCTGCAGAGCTCTGAGAAGTTGCATGTGTGTATTTTTGGGGTGTATAACTGCAGTGGGAGCTTCTCCTTGTCACCTGCCATCAGCTTTCTGCCAAGGGGTAGAACGTTCTCTGCTCAGGGTTTGAGTAGAGCAGGTTCTGGGCTGTGATTTGTGACAGGGACAAAACTGCTTGTACATTAAATGCTCAAGTAAGCACCGTTAAAATTCCATCACTGGGACACTGGGCTGGGCAATAGAATGTGTTGCCTTCAAAAGTTATTTTGCTGCAGAGTTTGGGGTGGTAGGTGTGGAAATCCCAGGTGTCCTGCAGGGAAGGGGCTAATTCAGCTGCAGCTCACCCTGCAGGGCCAGACGTGGTTATCCAACAGGCTGCTCTGTGAGGGAAGTCAGACCAGAGAGAGGCTGGGACTGGGAATTCAGACCCAGTTTTATGTGTCCTCTGACAAACTTGCCAGGCTTGCCCTGCTTGCCTGTGTTGTACAAGGGGTTGGTAGCTGGTGGCAGGATTGAGTTGCTGGAGTTTGTCTGCAGCTGTGAGTGTGTTTTTGTGCTGCACCAGCAGTTCCTGACGGAGTGTCAGGATGTGAATGTGCTGTTTGTTCACATTTCATGGAGGAGTGGGCAGACTGTCTCACTGTTGCGTTAAAGGGAAGCGTCTTTATCAGAAAAACTATGGAAAAAAAATCCTAGTTTTTCAACAATCTTGGTGCTCCCAAGTCAGATCTGCTGACTTTGGCACAACTGGTGCAGGGTGAGCTTAAGGAAGGGTTGGTTTTTCTGCAAAGCCAGCAGTTAAATGAGATAGGGCTGGATTTTTTTCCCACCCTGCCTTTTTCATCTTGAAACAAAGCTGTTGGTTCAATAGGAAATGTCCAATTCTGATCCCTGCTGATTTATGGGTGAGCACAGCAGCGTTTGCAGCTGCCCAGCTGAGCTCACTGCACCCCAAAATCAATGTCAGAGAACAGCCTTTTGTCTTACAAGCTGAACAAACGTAAACCTGGAGCCGTGAGAAAGATTTAAGGAGGAACCACAGGGAGATAAATATCTTGCAATCAGCAGCAGCAAATTATTGGAATTTTTTCCAGCATGTAATTCATCATACTTAGTGTTTGTCTTTACTGAGTCAGTTTGGAGAGCAGGCAGTCTGTTGAATATTCCGTGGTGCTGCAGGGTTTGACTTGCTCTGAAAGGAGCAGCAGAGTTTCCTTTTGGCTTTCTGGGAGTTGCTTTAGTTTCCCCACAAGGATCAGATTTGGAAGCTGCCTTGTAGCTCAGACTAGAGCTGTGAAGTGAAGGGTTGACCCAGAACCTCAGGCAGGGTCTTGGTGTGCTCTGGATGACTTTGGGACTGACAAAGGATAAACCAAGGGGCTTAGGGAGGAGAGGGTTTGGTCTTTCTCACTTCACCTTTGTTTTTATCCTCTCTCCCCTTGTTTTTTCTAACAGGCAGCTGAAGCCAGACCCTACTCCCCTGGTCACCTCCCGCTGTAATGTTTTCCAGAATGATGAGTTTGATGTTTTCAGCAGGGACTCAGTGGATGTGTCTCGGATACAGAAAGGCAAGAGGTGAGTGTCGTGTCCCTGCTCATTAACTCTGTGTGGCAGGAGGAATAAATCCCTGTGAACCTGCACATTTATATCTCCTGCAAACCTCCTGCAGGGGTGTGTTGGCAGGGGGTGAGGCTCCATCAAAAATGTTTCCCACCTGTGTGTCTGGGAAAGTGAAGTATGAGGGGTGTTGGTCTCAGGTGGTGTTTTTCCTAATTGGCTTTGCTGTGTCTGCTGCTGGAGGTGGCTCTGCCAAGCTCATTTGTAATGTCAGGCTCTTGCTCCTTGGGCTTAATGTTAAACTTGTACTGAGCAACAAAACCTTGAAAAGGACCATCTCTGAGCCTGGGATTGTGACTCAGAGCTGAGAATAAATAATGATCTGGTTTAGAGCCAAGAGAAGCTTCAATATCCATCTACTTCAAAATCTGATAACGCTGAGTGCCTCAGACACCTCGTGTTGTTCCTGCTGCCGTGAGCCTCCTGCACAAGGGCATTTGGAGTCGTGGAGTAGTTTGGGTTGGAAGGGACCTTTAAAGGTCACTTAGTCCAGTCTCCCTACAATGGGCAGGGATTTCTATAAAACCCCACCAGTTATTACTTTGTTTTCTGCCCAGTTTGGTGTGTTGTGCTGTGCCACACTCCATGCAGATTTAGGTGCTGGCTCCTCTTGATATCAACTCTGCCTCTATAATGTGGTTCCCTTGTTTCAGATTCTTTTTAGTCCTATCACAGAATCACAGAGTGGTTTGGGTTGGAAAGGACCTTAAAGCCCATCTTGTTCCACCTTCCACTACACTCTAAACACTGTCTGTAACCAGCCAAGTGTGATCTCTATGTTGGGATGTAATTACACAGAAGATAACTAGAAATCTGGGTGGAATTTGAGCCACATGACCATGAGAGCTCCCAGTTAAGGTTTTGGTTGCAAAGCTGCATCAGCCTCTCGGGAGAAACCCACTTTTGTCCCAAGTCCAGCTTCTCAGGGCAGTGCCACTGTGCTGATCCTGGTTTGGCTGGGCAAGAAAGGGATTTCTTTTCTCTCTGGCCAAGACTTTTGACACATCCCATGGCTAAGAATTCACAGACCTCACCTTCCTCCTCGTGGTGTTGCCTCGCTCAGTGCAGGCAGGTGCCCTGTGCAGGGCTGTGTTGGTTTATCCCTGAATCCCAAAGCCTTGCACAGGTGAGCTGGGCAGACAGGGATGACCCAAAGCCTTGCACAGGTGAGCTGGGCTCTCCCTGTCTCCCAAAGCCTCAGCTGGGTTCTCCCTGTCTCCCAAAGCCTTGCACAGCTGGGCAGCTGCTGCAGCAGCTGGACAAGGCCAGAGAGCCCCGGGATCAGCACAGAGCACCCAGTGGCTGGAATAACCTGCTCGGAGCTCCCTCTGCAGATCACTTGGAGAGCTCTGGGAGCTGTGGATGATCCCTGGGCTGGGCTGGGGGGCCCTGCTCCCACGGCACTGCCCTCCAGCTGTGTGGGAGGCTGAGCCTTCTCTCCAGTGGCACCATCACTCCTGGAGAAGTTCTCATCTCTCCTGCTGTAGTTACATGAACTCTTGGGATTATCCACTCACTGGTGCTCTTCTGGTGTCTTTTGGCCTCCCTCAGGCTGTGTCTTCATTTCAGAACAGTTTTTACACTGAGAATGCTCTGCAGGACTCCAGGCACGTTATTTCTGGTCTGAGTGGTTTGAAATGTGGGTGTGACCAGCTGTGATGGGCATTGTACACCCTCCACCCAAAGCTGACCACATCTAACTCAGTCAAAGGATAAGCTGTGGTACCTGGCTCTCCAGGATTTAACACTCAGCACTCCATAAATACCCAGAGTGTCTTTTCAGCACTGAAACTTTCACTTCCTCAGTGGTTCTTCCACCAGCAAGAAGCCTGATGTTTTACCCAAGCATTGGAGTAACAGGGCTCTCCAGGCTTAGTTTGAGATCTGCTTTGGATTGGAATTGTATCAATATTTAATTCTTTCTCTTTTTTTCCTCCTTCTCAATGCCTTTTGCTCGCCAAATTCTCTTGTGTTCAATCTGTTGCTAAGCATGATGTCACTTAAAGAGCCAGAGCAGGCTGGGTCCTGCTGCACTGGCCACTGTGAGCAGTTTGGGGCAGGGCCTGTCCTTGGGAAAGAGAAATCCAGGCAGGATGAGGAGAGAAAGGAGCGTGAGGAAATGAATGTACCAGCACAGACTCTGCTGATCCTGAAAAGTGATCCCACTTGTCTGTGCCTGTCCAGCCTTAGTTGTTTCAGCTGAATCTGTCTCCTAAGTCAGAGCATGCCCTCAGCACCGTGGGGCCAGAGGAGCTGTCCCACTGTTTTTCCTGGGATTGGTGCCATTTCACACAGCTCTGCAGTCACCAGACCAGCTGGGCAGGAAGCAATTACCCAGTGCTGAATGCCCACGGGAGCTGTTATCCCAGTGATCCCAGCCTGGGGATGTGTGAACTCACTGCATGCTTGGGAGGGCATTGTGCAGCTGAATGCAGGCCTGGAACGGTGAGTCATGGGAGAGAGGGAACCACATGGAGCTGCAAACTTCCTTTGTTTGGAGATTCTGAATGGAAATCAGGCTGCTTGGATCACCTCCCCACTGCCTGGTGCTGTGTCACCTCAGTCTGTCCCCTCCTGAGTCACTGCCACTGCCCTGCACAGGTTCCTTCTGTGGTAATATGCACTGGTGCCTGTTCCTCCTGGACTCTGAGGGCTGCAAGTTGTCCTGGGAATGCCAGACAGTGGAATCCCTTGTTGTTCTTCTGTAAATATGTACTTATCTGGTCTGAAAAATGGGAGTTCAGAGCTTATGCTTGTGCAGCTTGAGACATTCAGTGCCTGCTTTTTAACACCTCTGGTTCCTGCTCTTCCCTTCTCTAAAATGACTATAATTTACTTGCCTTCTAAACTTAAAAAACAAAACCCTTGCAGTGCTCTGAGAGGTTGAATCACAGTCATTATCTACTGCTTTGCTCTTTGCCTTGTTAGTTGTGTTGACTCTCATCCTCACTCATGGTTTGTGGCTCTCCTGGTGCTCCTTGGCCACATCTCTGCTGGAGTAGGATTGCACTTGGTCTCCTGGAAAAGCTTCCTCTCTGTCTCAAGGGGTGGTGGTGGCCTCCAGTTCCTGCTCTGATCTGCTGTGGGATCTTCCCAGGCTTCTGCTTAAGAGTGACTTTGTTCCAAGCCAGAAGTGGATGGTTTGAGTGGCCAAAGTGGACAAATGACCCCACCGGGACCACTCCATCCAGATTTGGGCCCCCCCAGGACAGGAAGGACGTGGAGCTGTTGGAGCAAGTCCAGAGCAGGTTGATGGGAGGAATGGAGCAGCTCTGCTGTGAGGAAAGGCTGAGATAACTGGGGTTGTTTAGTCTGGAGAAGGCTCCAAGGTGATCTAATTGTGGCCTTCCAGGACCTGAAGGAGCTGATAAGAAGAATGGAGAGGGATTATTTACAGGAGCTTGGAGTGCCAGGACAAATGGGAATGGGTTCAAACTGACAGAGTAGGTTTAGATGGGATATTGGGAAGGAATTGTTGGCTGTGAGGGTGGAGAGGCCCTGGCCCAGGTTGCCCAGAGAAGCTGTGGCTGCCCCTGGATCCCTAGAAGTGTCCAAGGCCAGGTTGGACGGGGCTTGGAGCAACCTGGGCTAGTGGAAGGTGTCCCTGCCCATAGCAGGGGTAGGGATGGGATGAACTTTAAGGTCCCTCCCAACCCAAACCATTCCATGACTCCATAAGTCAGCAAGGAAACAGGTGGGTCTAAGGGAGTGCTTGTGGCCTGGGAAAAGAGACTTGTGTTGCTTCATCTCCCACTAACAGGGGCAAACCCACCCTCTGGGGCAGGTTGTGACACCCTGCCTGTGTCTGTCCCCGTTTTGTGCTGCTGTGCAGGAGGGAGAAGGACACGACCAGGAGCCTGGTGAACGACAAGAGCCTGGTGCTGGAGCAGAGGGAGAGGTACAGCCAGTACAGTGTGGTGGTGGAGGAGCTGCCCCTGGGCCCGGGGCAGGCCCAGCCCTACGGGGACTACGAGGACGAGTACGACGACACCTACGACGGCAACCAAGTGGGGGCCAACGACGCCGACTCGGACGATGAGCTCATCAGCAGGAGGTGGGTGGGGAAGGGGAGCTCGGGGGGAACCACCACGGCCTTGGGTGGGTCCCACACACCTGGTCAGTGCTGGCTTTGGGCTCTGCCCCTCCGTGAGCACGTGTGTCCTCCCCCCACCCTCAAACCACCCCTTCGGCTGCTGCTGCTCTCTCTGTGACATTTGGGTCTCCCTTCTCCCGTGGGTTGAGAGTCTTGCCGTGGCCTGGGCCAGGGCATTCTCTGGCCTCCACTCAGCCATTGCCTCAAATCCAGCTGCAAATTTGCTCATCAGCAAAACCAACTGGAGAATTTGCCATTGTGTTGAAACTCTGCTCGTAGAAACCACCCTGCAACAGGGAAAAATGGGCCAGTTTGGACAGTTGGTGTAGCTGGGCAACCTAAAACAGCTGGTTAGCAAAGGAAAACTTCAAAATCTGGGGACCTGTATGACTGGACTTCTCCCTACCAGTCCCCTCTGATGTCTCCAAGTGCTGACAGCTGGAATTCAGACCCTCATGGGCTGCTCAGCACTGTCAGAAGGACTGGCAGCTGTAGGCAATCAGCTTTTAGGAAGCAAAGGGTTGGTTTGGGATGGAGGCTGTAGAATATTTGTTTTAGAAATATGAGCTGGGGATAGAAAACACGTGGTTTAAAAGCTGCTTTAACACTTGTCTGAAAGCAGCCTTTTCAATTCTGTATTATGAAGATGTCACTGTTCTTAACCTCAAACCAAAATGAAGCTTTGGGCTTCCTTTGTCCTTTTTTTTCCCCTCCTAAAGTGTGATGAGGGTTCAATTTAAATCCTTTTTGTGGTTTGCCTGTTAGTGTGGCACCCAGGTCTTTTCCCCTGTTTCAGGTGCTCACTCTCCCCAGAAACAATTAGTGGATGTTTCTGCTGAAAACTGGATCTGAGGGTGTGAAATAACAAAGGCTTTTCTGGGTTTACATTTATTTCTTTGACAGTGGAACAGTGGGTCTGAATTCCAATAGAATTTAAGCATACACACAAATATATATATATATATTTTAAAGAGTAAAAGTCATGTGGTAAATTGTGCCTCCACCCCCAGGCCCTTTGCTCTGTGTGTCCAGGGTGATTCATAAATCCTGATGGATTTCTCCAAGGATTTCCCCCTGTGTGAAACTGGGGCTCAGCAATGAAATTTGGGCTCCATGGATAACCCCTGACCACTCACAGAGGGTTTGGAGCACAACACTTGCTGAGCATCAGTGTTTCTGTCTGAGTTTGGACTCGAGGTTTGGGGGTTCCTGGCTGGGGAGCTAAAGCTTAACAAAGGATATTCCTTACTAAGGGCCCCTTTCCCAAAGGAAGCAGTTGTTTGCTTGGAGAAATTCCTTGTGAGGTTTGAGCTTTTCCCTGACCTGCTCCTTTTTTTTTTTTTTTAACTGTTATTATTTTCAGTGACAACTCCATAGTGAACATTCCCCAGTGAAGAATGTGTTCATTAATTACCCTGAGGAATGTGTCATTAGCTGCTGAGCTTCCTTCCTTGTTTTTATTTTTCTTCGGGAAAAAGTCCATGAAATTCGTAGAACTTCATTTTTTAAGGATGTGATGCAAACCAAGAAGGTTCAGTGAAGTGTTTGTGGCTGCAGTGACTTCCTTGCTGACTGTCTGTGTGTTCGTTCTCAGGCCGTTCACAATTCCTCAGGTCCTCAGGCCTAAGGGACAGGAGGAGGGACAGGAGGAGGAGGAAGAGGATGAAGAGGAGGAGGAGGAGGAAGCTGAAAAGGAAAGAACAAAGGTGACCCTGATTTACCCTGTTTCTTCCCTGCAGGGTGATGTGGAGCAGATTTTGGAGTGACTTTCAGCAGCGGCAGAGGCTGAGCTGCTGGGCTGGGACACATCCCCCCGACAGCTCCGCTGCTTCCCGGGATGACCAGGCTGGAGCAGGGACATTTACTGCGTGGGGAGCTTTGACCTGCTCTGTTCCAGAGCCAGGCAGTGCCAGCAGAGCACCCTGGGGGTCCCTGGGGCTCTGTCACGGCTGGGCTGGCACGGGGGGCTGTGGGGAGGGCCCTCAGCCAGCGCCGGTGCCAGGGCGTGTTCAGAGCCCCTGGCACAATTCCTGCAGGGATAATGAACCGGGGACTGACTCTGTTCCTGCTCCAGGATTTTGCAGGGTGCTGATGGGTTTCCTGACCTCTTCCCTCCCTTCTTTCCAGGACCACTTTGTGCAGGACCCCGCTGTCCTGCGGGAGAGGGCCGAGGCCAGGCGCCAGGCCTTCCTGGCGAGGAAGGGGTAAGCAGGGATCAGCCTCTGGGGGGTGAATCCCTGGCTCTGCAGTTGGCAGGTGTTTTGCTGCTGACTGGAATGGCTGAGGGTGTTCCTGTTCCTGACATTCCTGTACATCAGGGTCACCACCACCGTGGTGTGAACTTCCTCACCCACCTTCTGCTTCACTGCTGGTTGTTCTATCCCACTGAGCGGGTTGGCTTGTCATGGAGTCGTGGAATGGTTTGACTGGGAAGGGACCTTAAAGCTCATCTCATTGCTCCAAGCCCCGTCCAACCTGGCCTTGGACACTTCCAGGGATCCAGGGGCAGCC